GCCATATAAAGCACATGTTCATAGTGCAGGGAAGCCATCACTGCCCTCATTTTGGATGTAGGGAGAAAGTCCTAGTTTCAGTCTGTGGCATCTCCAGGTTAAATTAATGCTGTGTTGAAAGTTGCCTGTGTTAAAAGTTTTTCTTCACTTTTGAGAGAGGTGCCTCTGTTGCTAGCTTCTTCGCAGAACGTTTGAGAATTTCTCTTGGTATTCTGAGCTGACTTCATTGTGGGAAGTGACAAAGGATGTGCTACTGCTGGTGTTGCTGCTTTCGCTAATGCATCTTTCCATCACTCTAACACCTCCCTTGGCGGGCTGCCCTTTCCAACTGGGACAGGCCCACGGGAGGAATTTTCTCATGACATCCTTCCTTGGGATTGAATAAAAGGGCGAGAAGCCTGCTTGGCTGCAGACTGCAGGAAAAATAAGATTGCAGTGGAGAAGAAATCATCTGCCTCTGACCATCAGAACAAGGACCCCAGGCTGTCCATGAGAAGTCTTCTCAGATTCATTTCTTCTTTGAAATAAAATTGGAAAGCAAATCCTGTTTCGTGAAATGGAGTTGAAGTCCACACATCTTAAAGTTGCCAAGGTTGAGAAACGTTGTGCTAGCCTAGGATACACCCAATATTGATGCCATATAAAGCACATGTTCATAGTGCAGGGAAGCCATCACTGCCCTCATTTTGGCTCTAGGGAGAAAGTCCTAGTTTCAGCCTGTGGCATCTGATAGCCTATGATACACCCAATATTGATGCCATATAAAGCACATGTTCATAGTGCAGGGAAGCCATCACTGCCCTCATTTTGGCTCTAGGGAGAAAGTCCTAGTTTCAGCCTGTGGCATCTGATAGCCTATGATACACCCAATATTTTTCTGTGCTGTAGAAAGACCACTACTTAGAAGACATGGGCAAGTATTGGCAAGCGGGAGGAAAGGAAGATGGAGAAATGAGGGGGCCCACTTCATTGTTGGTTGCATTCTTTGCCTGACTCTCTACAGATCCATGCGTCCCTCCACAGAGAAACGTGGTCCATTGCCCATTCTTTCCGTTCTGCTAATGTCTAGCAGAAGTTCATAAAATGTCTTTTAATGTCACAAAAGGAGAAGCATCTCCGGCAGGAGAAAACTCTTAATTCTGGTGCCAAGGCTTCAGATCTATGGCATATGTGGGAAGTGAGTACCACCAGGCCCATGTGGAAGGTTTCTTATTGTCCACAAAGCTCACTGTTTGAGGTTCTGCTCTCTCTCATACAGGAAGCCCACTGAGAGTTTCAGAACCCCAAACAAGAATGAAAGAGAGTTTAGCAACAACTTGTACCAGTGTTTCTCAACCTTGGCAGCTTGAAGATGTGGCTGGGGAATTCTGGGAGTTGAAGT